GGATTAAAACAAGCTCCACGAGCTTGGTATGGAAAGCTTGCTCAATTTCTTCAGTTTTGCGGGTTTACGGCATCAAGTGCTGATTCAAGCCTATTCTTCAAGAGAAGTGGAAGAGTTCACGTAGTAGTTCTCCTCTACGTGGATGATATGATCATTACTGGAAATGACGAGGATGAAATTGCTCGTCTACAGGAAGATAAGTCGGTTTATGCAGGAACCAAGGAAGCCACACTTAGAAGCAGCAAAGAAGATATTGAAGTATGTGAAAACAACTCTTGGCATGGGACTGATGTACAAGTATAATGCCAAGGTTTCTCTTCATGGTTTCACAGATGCTGACTTCGGTGGAGATTTAGATGAACGAAAATCAACTTCAGGCTTTGTGTTCTTATGTGGAGACACAAGCATTTCATGGTGCAGCAAGAAGCAAGCAACGGTGTCCTTGTCTACTACCGAAGCAGAGTATAAAGCTTCAACACTCGCAGCTCAAGAATGTATATGGCTTCGTAGACTCCTCGAAGACTTGTTCCAGCCAATCAATAAACCGGTTACCATCTATGGAGATAATCAAAGTGCTATCAAGTTGGCCAATAATCCAGTGTTCCATGGAAGAACGAAGCATATTGAATTGGAACATCATTTCATAAGAGAGAAGGTGCTTGATGGAACAATTGAAGCATTGGAGGTTCGAAGCGAGAATAACGTTGCTGATATCTTCACCAAGTCACTACCAAAAGGTCAGTTCGAGATACTCCGTTCAAAGCTCGGAATGGTGGACAAAATCAAGTTTAAGGGGGAGTATTGAAGTTAAACTTGATTTTGGGCTTTGCTTAATTTTGGGTTCCAATAATCTTATTNAAGAAGTTGAACAAGTAAAGTAATAAGAAAGTTTTCTTAAAAGAAAGAAAGAGTGTCTACTCAAAGTTCCCTAAATCCTTTTGAGAGTTCTTCCATATTATTCTTCATACTTAGAAGTTCTCTTGTTTCTTTTGGGTCTCTCGGGTACTACGGTCTTGGGCTAGTGCTAAGCACTATCAACTTGGTTTGTTTCTTTACAGTTAGATGGTCCCTTACGAGCAATTATAAATTCGATGGATGCATTATGCATATATTGATCCCGTGAACTCTCTTTGTTTTCTTTCGTTCAATAAAAAATGTTCTATATATTACATATAATAATGTGTGTATCGATTCATTAAGAAAGAAGGTAGGCAATCTCCATCGAACTTCTAGTTCCATGGGTTAAAATCCAAAACAACCAACTAGTGGGCGTTACAGCATGTTTTTTTCACTTTCGTTAATAAAGTGGCAACAATTCACGACTGTAGCAGGTCGACCTGCTTGAATTTTATGTGTTACTTACTGAATAAAAATTATATTATTTTTTGTGGTAAATAAACGAGTAATTCGTTCAAAAATTCTATTAATATTCAACTTATATATGTAATATGATCTTCTTACAAATTTTCAGCCATTTTTCATTTTTGTATTGTTTACTAGATTGAAAAAAAAAATTGTTTATTAGATTGAAAGGACTGAGCACTTCAAATAACAATCAGCAACAATAGAATTTAAGCAAGCTGGGCTCAAAATGGACTGGGCCGAACATGACCATAACACTATTTAGTATTAGTTGTTTGGTGCGCTGAAAATGTTTTTTTTTTGTTTTTAGGAATTAATTTAGGATTACGTAGAATGAACATTTTATCTAAATTTTTACTTTTAAGTATTGTTACTTATTTTACGTTTTTACATTTTAAAATATTAACAAAGCAATAAATATATATTAAATAACTGAAAACAATTAGCTATTACATATATAATTAATGAAACGCATCAAAACAATAATTTTGTTTATTTACAATTATTTATGGTAAATAAATAAATAATCACTTTTATATAGTTTGTATGGATATGATTAATTTTAAATGATATTAACATAGATATATAATATATTAATATGTATAGAATTTTTAATCATATTGTTTTATGATTATTTGTATCTTTTTATAACCAAAATTATCAATTCGTGATAACAAAAATTTCCAGTGCAGAATTTAATAGTTTCTATAATTTATAGTTGTTCTTGTAAATTTATTTAAAATTTTGAAATTAAAATTTAAGTTCTCCATTCTTGTTCAATGCAAATTTTGAAATTAAAATATTTTTACATTTTATGGTATATACTTTAATATATATACATATATATATATATATATATATATATGATTTTGAATATTAATTAAATGGTACTTTTTACTGATATGATTTATGATCATTTATATCTTTTTATACTATAAAGTTTAAACCATTGATCGTAATTTTTTAATATGAAATTTTTAACAGTTTTAGTAATTTATAGTCATTGGAAAAAATTAAAACTATAACATATGCGGAAAATATAAAATTTTATCATATGATTAATCGATTTTTTATTTTATGTTAATGATATATAAGCAAACATAAATATGAGGATAAACAAACTGTTATCAAGATTTTATAATTAAAATCATTAACTGTCGTATATATTTTTTAATCATATAGGTAAATCCCGTAGATTTATTTAAGGAAAAACGAAAAAAAATTATTAATTAATTTTGTGATTAGCTTAATGAAAACTATATTATATATTTAATAGACCAACATATTTTTCTAGAAAATTTAAATTATAGATAATATGTTATAATATTTCTTTTTAATATATAAGAGATTGTTTGGACAATTCCTTGGAACAATCATCAGTGAGGATCGATTTATCAAGTATTCTGTTTTTATTTTGAAAAAGGGAAAGAAATTTGTTGTTTTTTTTTTCCTTTAAATATCATGAACTTGTGGAGTTGTCTATCATTTGGATCATCAATTATAAAAACGTCTAGCTCTCATTTCATAATTCGATGTACTATTAGGTTACTGGTATCTATGTTTAATAAAATTTCAGCACAAAGAGTACAATCAGGTCTTTTGCACTCAGTAATTGTAACATTGAACTCTCGGAGAAGAAAAATGTACTCCTCTTGCTGATTCATTAGAAAAACATTTGATTTCATTGATTATTGGCAGGTGTCATTATGTATGTGTTACATTTTTGTCTGTCCTGGATCTGAAATGCTCAAAAAATATTTGGCCGACTTTGATATCAACATGATAACTAGAGTCGAGAAGCAATATGAGAATCAAACTCGGATGTAGCAGGCTAAGAATTAAAGAGTTTATCCTAAATAATTCAAGATGGGTTCGAATTCGGCTGTTAAATGAAAATAGGAAAATCTGTGATGAGGATGCTTTCGTAGTCATCATTTAAAAATTTTCAATATTATTTAGTTTTTCCCATTTAATTAGACCAACCTCGTGACGTGAATGTGTATACTGAGACGTACTTGCATGCATGTACGTATGCATAGTTAATGATATTGTACCTTTGATTCTAAAGAATAAATCATGTGAACGGGAAGACTAGAAGTCTACGGATCACTAGATGACCTATTCGTCAAACCCTAAATTTACAACAACAAAAACACCAGAAGTTTGTTTATATATTTCATCGTCTATCTTTTAATCCTCTTTTTTCTTCATCTTGTTATGTTTTTTTTCTCATTATAACAAACAAACCCTTTAATTAAACGACTCTCTTTATTCTTTCTGGCTTTTGTTCTTTTTGTTGTCATGTCGTTAAACCAGGTTGCATATATAACCATCTCCAGGAAAACATCTCAAATCAAACCCAACGGTTGAATTTCTAGGATCCGATTTAAATCAGAGAGTCGGTAGAGATCAGGAAAACAAAGATGGGTTTGAAAGATGAGGACAAGAAAGCAGAAATGTCTTCAGAAGAGCCAAAGGGACATGTGACCTTCAGCAGAAATAACAGCCACAGCTCTATGTCTCCAACAGAAGATGATGAAGAAGAAGACAGGAATCTTGAACTTGGCCCCATGATCGCACTCAGAGAACAGCTCGAGAAAGACAAGGTTTTAATTTTATCTCTCCTGTGTTCTGCTTACATATGGCTATGCCGCTATATGTTCTGTTTTAATCCTATATATTTTATGGGTGAATTTGGTTTTCAAAAGCTACACCACAATTTAGTGACTTTTTCTACCATTGGAAAAAAATATTTAGGATGATGAAAGCTTAAGGAGATGGAAAGAACAACTTCTTGGCATTGTGGATCTTGAGCAGGTTGGAGGTAAACCAATTCCAATACCCGGTTTATATATACGGTTTAATAGCAAATAAATCCAGGTTATAGACATATCCCATTTATTACAAATCGTTGTAACTCATCCCAAAATTTAGATGTCTCTTGTCTCATGTATGGATGGATTAATAGTTTTAGAGTAACTTTGCATATCATAAGATAAGACCAAGGTACAAAAGATGTCCTTATTTAGACAGATAAAAAAGATTAGTTGATATGTTTGAGTTCACTAACTAGCCCACTAGCCTACACTGAATGTTTTTTTTGTTAATTGTAGATTTATTTGTAAGGTTTTGATAAATTAACAAAGTGTAAATACAGAGACTCCGGATCCGGTGGTAAAGATAATGAACTTAACAATCAGGTCACCGGATAGAGAAGACATGGTATTGACCATCCCTGAAAACGGAAAATCGACATCGAAAGGACCATGGTTTACTCTTAAAGAAGGCTCTAAGTACACTCTCGTATTTACTTTCCGTGTGAACAACAACATTGTGTCCGGTCTCCGGTACAGCAATACGGTTTGGAAGACCGGAATCAAGGGTATTTACATATTTCCACGCAATATTATTAGTTCCAATAAAATTTTGAACCCTTTTCTCTAATTTTTGTGTTTACTCTTTTTTTCTGAGAATAGTGTATAGTAGAAAGCAGATGTTGGGAACCTTTAGTCCGCAGGCTGAACCGTATAACCATGTCATGTTTGAAGAATCGACGCCGTCTGGTATGCTTGTTAGGGGTTCCTACTCCGTTAAATCCAAGGTACCAAAAATCAAATAGTTTAACCTATCTTTCCTCATGCATACATATTAGTCTATCAAATTCTCCAAATGTGTTTATATAAAAAAACTGATGCCACAGAAAGAGCCTTCTTTTCATCATAGTTTTGTATACTCAATTGAATATTCTCACTTAACTCTTTTTTTCTTGTAAATGTATTTCAGTTTGTCGATGACGATAATAAGTGCTACTTGGAGAACAACTACACCTTTGACATTCGCAAGAATTGGCTGTGATCCATCACATAAGTTACCCGAAGAAGAGAAACATGTTATATTTTTCATTATTTTGTTATTAAGTACCCTTTAATTTAAACTTGTTCTTAATTTTAATGTGTGTTCATATCTATGGTTCAAAAAATCAAATTCAAAAGAAAAGAAAAGCTCGAAAAATTTTCATAAAGTTTTTGGGTCGGAACAAATAATTGAAAGAAACACTTCTATGAATTCCCTAGAGAAAAACCTTGTAGTCTGAAGAATAGTTGGAAAAAAAAACTAAAATTCAGCTTGACATATATAATTCTTCTACCAACACTTAATTGTCGTCTGCGGTATTTATCTACAACTGACCGAGACAAGCTAATATATGTTTTTCTCTCAGCCCTGAAACTTTTAATACATGTAGTGATGAGATAAAAGATGGAAGAGAGCTTGACAAATTTTATGTAATATGTATAATGATTTGATAATTTCCTGCTTTTTTCTTTGACATCAAGCAACCACTCTTTAAAAGCTAAGATAACATATTTAACATGGATCCAAATTTTGAGTTTTGACCTTGGAGATTGTTATTTTTAGGGCCCTATTATTCATTGGAAAGGTCAACAGATATACAAAACACTACATGACGTTTTCACGAGTACAAGACGACGCGTTGTCCGTATACATATACTCACAAAACGACGTTAGTAAATTTAACAGAACATAGACTAACTTAAATAAGAAAAGACAAAAGAGAGATAAATCTATCGTACGAAAGTTGTCGGAAAAAGATAAAAAATCTACCGTAACGCCGGATAATTTCACCAGCCGTCATTCTCTGAGAAATCTCTGGAAACATCTGAACCCCAAATACTGAGCACAGAATCTCTCCATCTCATCTCCGCCTCTCTCTCTACTCATCTCCTCCTCCACCGCTTCTTCCCAGTACATAGGCCACGCGCCGCCTTCTCCGTGATCGTAGTTATTAGACCACCACTGATTCTCGTCTCTACTCTCCGATATCGCGTCGAGTATCTCCTGCATCCCCACGATCTGACGGCTCACCTTCCTCCGCGCTTCTCTGATCGTAGGATCCAAACCAGGAACAGAGTCGAGTCTCAGAAGCAGAGACATAAGTGTCTCGTTCATCCTCAGCCGTTCTTTCTCGTCGCTTCTGATGGCGTCTACAGTTTCCTGCCGTTGGATCATGCTCTGTGCACGGTTTGCTTCTCGATGGACGGATGAGATTGTTTTGTAGAGGCCTCGGATCTTGTGAGAACGGTAGCCAGATTGGATTCGTGCTGCGGCTGAGGCGTTGGTCATGACGGTTGCTTTGGCAGGCGGAGGTGGGGTTGCTGGAGGGGTAGTATGGTCATTATAGAAAGTGTGGATAACGGTGGTGGTTGTTGTTGTCGCCGACGATGAGAACTTCCTTGAACGTTTCATTTTTCTTCTTTACCTTTTTTTTTCTGACGGTGGTCGTTATTGACTCATATATAGTAACTCGCAAGTAATTTTTATTTTCACTCATAGTTAATTTGTAAAAGACCAATTATTGAAAGTAAGCGACCGACCGTTGCTAATGGACCCATTTACACTCGATGATAAGCTTTTATATAGAAAGTTATTACATTTCCGTTGTCTTCTTTTATCAAAGATTCAATAACATATAGTATGATCTTTCTTTACACGAATTTTCCTCCAAATAAATAAAATTAATCTATTTTTGATGGAAATGAGTTTCTAAACGTACATCAAAGGTGCATTACCGGTGAAATGTGTATATTTTGTTGTTATTATTTATACAGATGATTTCAGGAGAAATTTCAGTTTAATGGCAAGTTTGATAATAACCGATAACAACAAATGTGTATATTGTATAGTTATTATATATACTCCATTGCTGCTAATGCAGCTGCGTCAGAGGAAAAAAAAAACAACAAAATATGCAAAAGAAAAATATGAAAATAGAAAAAGTTAACTCGAATGTTTTTTCTTTATAAATAAACAAACACACAAATTAAAAGTCTCGCAGGCAAAAGAATGTAATTGTGAGTGTTCATAAGGCAATGCATTTTTTTTTCTCAATTATTTGAAACTAGTAGTAAGACGGAGTAGGAGGAGGAGACGAAGCATACGAGACACTTGGAATCGGTGGAAGAGATGTCTCGGGATAGGAAGGAAGCGGTGGTGGTGATGATGTGTATGAATATTCAGGAGTTGGTTGGTAAGTAGGAGGTGTTGGTGGAGGATGGTTGTCTGTACATCCCTTTGCTGGTGGAGAAGACTGGCTTGGTGAGTAGTACTCAGTTGGTGGTGGAGGACTTTGTGTTTCTGATGGATAGTAAACTGGTGAGGGTGGTGGTGGACTTGGTGTTTCTGATGGATAGTAAACTGGTGATGGCGGTGGTGGGCTTTGAGTTTCTGATGGATAGTAAACTGGTGATGGCGGTGGTGGACTTTGTGTTTCCGATGGATAGTAAACTGGTGAGGGTGGTGGTGGACTTTGTGTTTCTGATGGATAGTAAACTGGTGATTGCGGTGGTGGGCTTGGTGTTTCTGATGGATAGTATACTGGAGTTGGCGGTGGTGGTGGGCTTTGTGTTTCCGGTGGATAGTATACTGGTGTTGGCGGTGGAGGGCTTTGTGTTTCTGGTGCATAGTATACCGGTGATGGTGGTGGTGGACTTTGTGTTACGGGTGGATAGTATACTGGTGTTGGCGGTGGAGGGCTTTGTGTTTCCGGCGCATAGTATACTGGTGATGGTGGTGGTGGACTTTGTGTCACTGGTGTGTAATATACAACAGGCGGTGGCGGAGATGATTCAGGACACGGTGGTGGTGGACTTGGAGGAGGCGGAGGTGGAGATGAATACACGTAAGGCGGTGGTGGACTTGGAGGAGGCGGTGGTGGAGATGAGTACACATACGGTGGTGGTGGACTTGGAGGAGGTGGAGGTGGAGATGAGTACACATAAGGCGGTGGTGGACTTGGAGGAGGTGGAGGTGGAGATGAGTATACATAGGGCGGTGGTGGACTTGGAGGAGGTGGAGGAGGAGGCGAGTACACGTAAGGCGGTGGAGGGGGAGGCGAGTATACGTAAGGAGGTGGTGGAGGAGGGGAGTATACGTAAGGCGGTGGAGGAGATGGTGATGGTGGTGGAGGCGGAGAGTAAGCTCTCACGGTAGGCGACATCTTAGACAACGGTGGAGGTGGGGGAGAGTAAGCTCTAACGGTGGGAGACATCTTAGACGCCGGTGGTGGAGGCGACTTGTAAACATAAACCGGTGGAGGGAGTCTCCTAACAACAGGTGACATTTTGAACGTTGGTGGTGGCGGTGGAGAGAAAATATTATTACAACCAAACTTACTACAATCAACAGGACGAGCCAACAAAGATAAACACTCCTTAACCGATCTCTGACGAGCCAAACCGGTTAAACAATTCATGGAACCGTTCACAATAGCGTCAGCCGCCGATAGAGCCGCGCATATAGGAGCACGACCGGTGAAGAAGTTGGAATGGTAAGTAAAGTTCTCAAGGTTCGGAAGCTGGCAGATACTCGGAGGAATAACACCCGTGAAACCATTGTTCGCCACGTGGAGCTCTTCTAAACTCTTCATGTTACCAACGCTAGACGGTAACGGACCACGTAGACGGTTTGAACTAATGTCGAAAACCGTCACTTTCTTGAGGTTACCTATCTGAGGAGGTAAACAACCGGTTAAGTTATCGTTAGAGAGGATAATCTCGTTGAGTGTTTTCCCCATTTGACCGATACTTCCCGGTATGCAACCTCCAAGATCGTTGTCGGCGAGAACCAGAGCTGAGACCGGAGAGTTCCCCATGTTGTCGGGGATCCCAAACCGGAACCTGTTATGGTTCAAGAATATAGCGTCGAGGTTTTTATCGAAGAGCTTCCAAGGGATCTTGCCTTCGAACTCGTTGAAGCGAAGATCCAAGAACTTGAGGGATGGTAACGAGAGGACAACCTTAGGGAACTTACCGACGAATCGGTTGTTGCTAAGATCAAGCTCGTGGAGTAGCTTCATGCGGTTGAATGTAAGAGGGACTTCACCGCAGAAACGGTTTGAGTTAAGGTGGAAGAGAGCGAGGTCACAAAGGAGACCAAGCTCGGATGGTAAGTAACCAGCCATGTCAGCATGGTTAAGGTCAATGCCAGCAACGACTCTTGTTTTGTTGTATGAGCCAGGGAGAGGAGCACAGTAGATTCCATTGTATGAGCAAACATCTGACCCGTTCCAGTTAGCTGTGAAGTTGAAAGGGTCAGAGAAGATTGCTAGTTTCCATGATTGGAGAGCAATGTATGCTTGACGTAGCCTTGGGTTCTCGAACTTGAGGTTAGGGTCTACTTTGATATGACCACCTAAGCCACTTTCAGCAGCTTTGATTTGTTGTATACAAAGGGAAGAGAGAAAAAGAAAAAAGAAGATACGAAGAGGATGGAACAGCATTTTTTTTTTTGTTATGGGTCAAGAAACCCAACTTTTTTACATAATATGAACATCTATTATCTCTATGTGCTCCATCTTTATAAAACAGTTTAGAAACTCAAAGTCGTAAGTTCGTAACTCTTTCTAATCTCTCTAGTTGTCTTTATTTTTTACTGAATTTGTCAATTACTGACATGGTCACACGTCGAGGGAAACGTAAAGGAGACTAAAAAGAGCTGACCTTTGCGCAGATATCAATGGTTTCCGCAAACTTGTATGCACGTTATGATGCTTGAAGAATAAATAAATTAGCTGTCAACGTTTAACCATGTAAAATATGATTAAAACTCAAAATGACACTAGTGCACGATCTATGAAAGAAACGGTCAGAGAAAGACATACCTGCTCGCACGACCTATAAACAAAAATGTGGACGCATGTCTGTCACAAAAACGTGTATATCTATATCATCATTTCCCTAGATCTTTCAACGAACATATATACCAAGTTTATTCTTATGATTATTATGAGTTGTTCACCGGTTGATAAGTCTTCCAAATGTGAGAAACAAGCATTCACTCAAATCGATGTCTAATTTCGTTTTGTATAATAATCCGAAACGTGATCCTAACCTGTCTGTGTTCTTTCATTATAGAAAGCGACATAAATCATACTAACAAGAAAGCATACAGATAAACTTGGAGAAAAGACTGCTTGCTACAAGATGCTGGTATGAGTTCAGCTGCCTGACACAACATCAAGCATATAATATAAAACCATATAATAAGTGCGTGCATTCGCCTGATCAAACCAATTATATAGAAAATCAAAATATGATGCATCTTCTACATGAAACGAGGTGTCACGTTGAGGTTAGAACTTCCATAGCTAGATATCAAGTTTTGCTCAATCACAATGAAACATTGTCTTGACCTCTAAATTTTTTTGAAAATTATTATACATAAGTTTTATGATCCCAAACTCCAAAAAAAAAATCATTTTTCTTAGATTCATCTTAAAATGTTCATGACCTCCGATCTTAAGACTGGCTCTGGTAAAGTAAGGCGAAGTGCATATTTTTACATGATTTGCATGTTCTTGATCCAAGGTGATGCATAGTCCCAAATAACAAAGCAAACAATGTCCATTATTGATCACCCATGAAGGCTTCATAGCTATAAGCTTTTATAACATCCAACATTTTAAGAATCAACCAAACTTTAATGCTTGATCAAAGGTAAAAACTAAACCAAAGAAAATGATGACATAGACAGCAACCATGGGACCATTATTCACGGTACAAGATTATCATGATCGATTGTCATTGTTCTCAGTCAAAGATTAGGTATATTAGAAGGCCAGGCCAGAGCCTTAAGCCTATAGAGCAACACAGGTTTTAGAATTTGCAATGGGAGATAATTGATTTGTGGCTTTGAAGTTCAGCCCAAACTGTACTAACCAATCATTATAGGCCCACAGAGACATGTTTCTCGAAACGTGGTGAAATTATTTTTTGATGATTGATACTGATAATTTGAGATTTTTATGAAGAATAAATCAGACCAAAGCCGATCACGAGTTATGGATAAGTCTATAATCCGCATCAGACATTGCCGCTGATAATTTAATATATTCACCTACTTATTGCATGACCAACTTAAAAATCTGAAAAAGAAACAAATGAACAAAGATAAACCTTAGATACGTTGAACCTAGTCGACTTCTCAGATTCATTGAACTTGGACGTAGTTTTGGTTACTCTACTTCTGGTTTCCGCGTCAGAAGAAGGGACTTAAATTTGCTGAAGTGAAATAAGTGAGACATGGAAAGATCGAACCACTCTCTAACTTGCTTCATTATTGTTAAAATTATTTCAGTATCTAATCTATATAATTTTATATAACTAAAACTTAGTATTAAATTTAAAAATAGAAAGGTTAAACCAAAAAATGGATGCAGACTTGAGAAGTATTTTAAGGAATTGGGAAAGATTCATATAAGAACATTTTCATGATTTTTGTATTATGTTAATTAATTATTATAAACTTTTTTGACTGAATTTGGAATAAATAGGAACTTGTAAAGATGATAATCATGATTTTGTTTTGTTTATTATAAATCGCTGACTAAAAATGTTATTATACCTTAATCTGAAAATATATACTTCCTCCGTTTCGAAAAAATTAACATTCTAGAAAAAATATTTGTTTTAAAAAGATGTATTTTCTATTTTCAATAAATAATTTAATGAAAAATTCTAGATTCCAATTTAAAAATTCTATTAGTTAAAAAAATATAGAGAATTGTTATTTATAATAAATGATGTATTGGTAATACAAATTTTATGTTTTTGTTAATATGTGTAAAAAGTTGAAACAAATTTTGAAACAAAGAGAGTAGAAGACTTAATTCTACCATATCACTCTTTTTCTAAACTAGCACTATTCACTGTGTTGTTTTTCGATAGTTAGTCTTTAATTATTCCGGTTTGATACATGTTATTCGCTTTTAAGTGTATGTATCTGGACGCTATGGCTGTAATAACAATTGAGGTTCTAAAAATTAGTCAGCCATCACATCCCAAAACTGTAATTAACTTACAGGGATTTAGAGTATCTCCGTTACACAAAACGCCGTTAATCTTTATTCACCTATCATTTCACCACCGTGTTGTCATTTCTTACCATTTTGTCGTTTACTCCGTCAAAAGGCTTTGTCAACACAATGAAAGCAGCACTATTAGTATGTGTATATATATATCACAATTTGCTGAAGAGAGGAGAAACCAGGAAAAGGGCATAAAATGGTAGAGATTCCAAGAAGGTTAAATAGATTCGCTGCGGCTTTTGACGTCGAGGCGGCGCGTGCACTTCAGCCATGCGAGAGCAGCAGTGGGAGCGATCATTTTCCTGATGAGACAGCCGATCTTTGGGATCTGGTCGAGTCTTTTATGGACAGGGAAGTGAGAGCTTTACCAGAGGATGTTCCTGAGGAAGAAAACGATGATAAGTCAAACGATGATTATGAAGATGTGAAGGAGAGGTTATGGGAGATTCGTGAGAATCTCAGTGGCGGCAGAGAGCGGAGGAGAATAGTTGAGGAGATAGTAAATGCAAGTGAGTTTGTGGGAGAGAAACGCCTCTTGATGGTTTACTTACGTAACAAAGGTTTTGATGCAGGTACAAACACTAATGCTCTCTTTACTAAGAAGTTTACATTTTTATGTATTTGATTTTGAAGGGGATTGTTTAAGTTTCTCCAATTAAACCTAAATTTTGTAGATCAAATCCGCTTTTGAGAGATAATTTGTTGCATCTAGTCTTTAAAAACTCAAAGATCCTATTTAAGAAACTTATTTTTTGTTACTGGTTGATCTATTGCAAACAAATTAAGCCTTGAATATTAAGGGTTGTTTAGAGGCGTGATTAGAATGATGGAGAATCGAGCTTGATGTGATTAGAAATAATGCTTTTGTCAAGAGGATTACACATTTGAACTTTGATTGTTCATTTTATTACTATTAAGTTTTCTTGACATACGTCTCATGTAGAAGTAGTTTCACATCAAGATTAATAATCTAGTTTAGTAACTGAGTGATATTGATGGATTTTATTGCACATCCTTGTAGTTAAGTATGTTTAAGAAAATTTAATATGTTGGATCTATGTTGTAACATATAGAAGATTTGTATGTTTATGTTATGATACCCTAGTGGATTTTCGGATTTAAATGTGCAAATACTGAAATGAAAAGATAATGCACATATATACTACTAAGCAAACCTCAAGTAGTAAGTAGTTAAGAATAATGACTAAGGTTAGATCCATATAACAATATAAAAAACATAGCTTGATCGTGTTTTCTTTTAATATTTTGAAGTTTTTGTATTTGCATGTATAATCGTATGACCATAAAGTCCATAACTAATGGATATGAGAATATACTCAAATGAAAAGATGAATATATTGCATAGGTCTTTGCAAGTCCAAGTGGGAGAGATTTGGTAAGAACACAGCCGGGAAGTACGAGTACGTTGACGTTAATCGAGAAGATAAGAACCGCTTTATCGTCGAGACAGATCTTGCCGGAGAATTCGTGATTGCTAAGCCTACGACAAGATACCTCTCTCTCTTAGCTCAACTACCACGTGTCTTTGTGGGAACACCTGAAGAGCTGAAAAAGTTAGTGAGAATCATGTGCTCTGAGATAAGACGGTCGATGAAGCGAGCTGAGATTCACGTGCCACCGTGGAGGAGGAACGCTTACATGCAAGCCAAGTGGTTTGGTCATTATAAAAGAACCTCTAATGAAGTGGTAACTAGGGTTAAGAGCTGTGGCTGTGGACCACGTGTTGGGTTTGAAGGTTTGGTTAAAACGGCGACGCTTAACGGTTATAAGGAGGTTGAGAGGAAGAGGCATGGCTTAAAGGTTGGCCAGCTCACGGTGGCTTTTTCAACGGCGAGGGAGTGAGATTGTAATTGTGAGTTTTGAATTATTTTGTAAATGTATATAAGTTGGTGTAGGGGTCTATATAAATTTGTCTAGTAGAATAATATATTAGTTGGGCTTTCTCAATCTCGGCCCGTTATACAACTGGCCCGGCTCTATGAAATTTCATAATCAATTCTTTTAAGACTCCTTTGGATTTTTCATTTTCGTTTTTAACAAGACTCAGAATTAATCAAACCTTTAAAAGCAGCGGAATGGTACCACCTTGATTACAACTTTACAAGTGTTGGACAAAAATGATATCAAACAAATTTAAAAGTACTGTAACTTTGAATTAAAGTATTAAACAAATTTCATGAGACTTTCAAAAACAAAAGAATATAATCCAAATCCCAAGGAGGACCTTTGTGACACACAATATTGAAAAACAGTAAACTCATACAAAACGAAAATATTTAATTTAAAATTTGTTAAAAATAAAAGATTGTTTAAAAATAAAAGATTGTTTCTTAGGATTGTGTATTTACATTAAACATTCTAAACAAAACCATTTAACGATGCTGTCAAGTATGATCTGTATGTAAGCCTAATTTCATAGTACAATATAATAGTACTACTAATTAAAATGACAAAACTAAAAAAAAGGAATGAAACAAACAGAAACCTAAATGACTCTTTCGTGTCTTTAAAAGTCTAAAATAACATCTTCTTTAATAATGTCTGGTCTCGGTTTCTCTCTCTCTCTCTTACACACTAAGCAATGAAGAAGCTCTACCGAAAAGGAACAGTCCACCCCTCGCCGCAGAAAAAACCCGACGACCAACTTCTCCAACTTCTTCCCGTTGCCATCTTCTCACTAGCAGCGGTTCTTTCCCAAGAAGACCGTGAAGTCTTGGCTTATCTCATATCAACCGCCTCTTACTCCGGCGACCGAAACCATACCTCTCGCCTGAATAAGACCAAACCCCACGAGAAGTCCCGTTTAGACAACCACTCTCCTCTTTTTCACTGTGACTGTTTCAGCTGCTACACGAGTTACTGGGTGAGATGGGACTCTTCACCTAGTCGCAAACTGATTCATGAAATCATAGACGCTTTCGAAGACAGTTTGGAGAAGAAGAAAAAAGGTGGAAGGAAAGATCGGAGAAAGCGCTCAGGGAAGACCTCAGCTCTCGCTAGTCCTAGATTTGGTACGAAAGATTCAGAGAGTTTTAGTCAACTTACTGAGTCGATTGCGAGTTCGTTTGCATGTTCGAGTTCGAGTGAGTTGGTTGATGGCACTAACGGCAGTTTGGAATCAATGGAGGAGGAGCTCCGTGCCGGAGACGTTGGCGAAGAGGCGGATAAGGAGGAGGAGAAAGGGTCCGTTAGGAGATTTGTAAGTTTCATAGGTGAGAAAGTTTTTGGTGTTTGGGGATAAGAAATTTACAAGAGATGAAATAAAAAACTATAAATGTATTTTTTTTTCTTCTTCTTTGTTTCACTTGGATCTTTTGTAAGCAAAGCCAAAATGTTTGATTACCGAAAGTTTCCATGTCTAAGCATTAGCTGTACAATAATTCTACAAAATATCACTGTATCATAACATCTTGATTATATAAAAACATTAGTATAGTTGCACGTATTTGATACGTCGGTATGCATACACATTGTGGGATCACAACACAAAATGCACAAACCTGTATAATCTATTGTTTTCGTACCGCCAGAATTGAACAACTTATATTATTGAGCAGAATACAAAGTAGAATTGTTACTCCTAGATACTATAGCTAGATGATATATAATAAAAAGTGATAAAGCCTTTTACTCTAAAATGCATGACTATACAATAAAAGTACTATCTGGGGTCCAACGATATCTTTTGTGCTGCCCACCACTACAGCCAATTCTAATGCTTCCCCTGAACTGTTATTTTCACATTATTTTTCTGTACACTACTGCTCTTTGCGGGTCACCCCATCTGAACCAAGCGTAAAGTCTAAAGTATAAACTCAGTAAGTACGATTCATAAGCTGATAGTGAAATATAAAATGAATAATCATTGAGAACTTTTTGTCAATTGAGTGCAACTCCACGCTTCTCCGTTATCACATTGTATACTTATTCATGTATAGTCCAAATGAGTGGATAAATAAACTTGTGAAGCATGCAAGACATTAAAACGTGCAGTGAATATGTTTGTTCTGTAGCTAGGATACTACCATCAGAAGAAAGTATAATGCAGAAGTTTGAAGCTAGTAACTACCTAAAGTAATCGGAATTTTATCGAATCATCATTCTTTTGTCTCTTGGGTATATTTTGAAACCACGTTAGAATAAATAATTCAACTATCTTTTTAGACAAAACGAGGGAACTAAATTCTAGAAAACCGGGATATCGTACATAGGGTTTCACAAATAAATAGAAAAAGTGGAGACATCATGGCTTGGCTCTGGTCTCGGTGTAACACTTTTTACTCACGCACAAGAAAAAAGTAATATTTGTTTGGACTGAAATGTCAGACGAAAGATTGATGTAGCTTGGTACTTTCTTTTACGAAAAAGAAACACTAAATTTGGTGTTTTGATGTTTCAATTTCTTTTTCATCTCCAACCACAAGCATCAAATTCCACACCAAAAAGAATATTCTCTATTATTATAATATTAAATTTAGTTTGCTGTTTATTTTTTAATAGTTTTAATAATTAATTATTATTTATAAAACTGATTAATTAATAAATAAAATATAAAATTTCAATTGATAAAAAATAAATATTAATCAATAATTTAAAAACTGAATAAATTAATTGGAATAATTTATTTGGTTTTTGTAAATAATAATAATTAAGTAATTAATTAAGAAAGATATAAGATTACAATCCGTTAAACAAAATTACAATGCATAAAATATAAATAACCAGAAATAAAATACATCATACTAATTTTCAGAATTGGTAATTGGTAATTTTATGTGTGTCTAATTTTTTATATGTAATTTATGTGTTTTTAATTTTAATTATGTAATTTTATGTGTCTTTAATTTTAATTATGTAATATATGTTTTCATTAATTTATTATTTTAGTTGATGGTATTTATTTGTATTTTTAATTAATTTGCTTATTAAGATATGTTAAAAGTATAATTAACTGATATATATTTATTTAAATATATTATTTTAAGGTAAAAGTAAGAATAAAAAATTATTTTATTTTTGGTGTTTTGTGAACAGTGTTACACCAAATATAGTGTGACACTGTTCATAAAACACCAAAAAAAAAATTATGCCGTTGGATTTGCCGTTCGGTTGGAGAGTGAAGCACTTCATATTTGACGTTTTGCCGTTCGGTTGGAGTTGACCTTAAGGCAAAGATGTCATCAGTCATCACTGTGTGTCACGGCACATTAGTTTGATTTTATAGGATTAAAAAAGTCAAGGCAACGTCTTTTACTCGTTCTGTGTGTCACGGCACATTAGTTTGATTTTATAGTCTTTTTTTTTTTTTTGTCACTTTTGATTTTATAGTCTAAACTGTGCATAAAGTTAAAACCTAAAAACCATTTAAGTGAGTTTTCTTTTACTAGTACTCTCCTTCATTCACACTTTTTATTTTCACTTTTATCAAACTAAAAAACCAAACATAAAATGATTGAAACAAAATTTCTTAATGTTTTTTGGTTGTTTAAAAATTATACCAATGCAATATTTAGTGCAGAGTTGATGAGATTCCCATAGTTTCATTCTCGAATTTCACTATCCTTTTGTTTTTAATGTTTCATTATAGTACATTTCTGTTTTCGATTTTCCATTTCGTTTCGTTGTACAATATGTCGTTTTTCTTTAAGGTATTACATTACAACAGAAAACATGGCGATACGAAACTAGATGGGCCTCCGTTGTATGAAAGGGATCCTTTGATTCTGATTTGGCATATCATATTGTACAACAACCCAACTAAATTGTGTATAATTACTTTTGATATGAACCTGAAGGTCGACTGACATGGTTTGTGTACTGTTTTTTTGGTTCAAGTTTTATTTTTTTACGCGATGCCCCAGTTTGAGTGTCTTATTGGGCCATAGTGGATTTTGGAGACACCTTCCCAATCCTTACAACACCAGACAGAACAGGAGGTGGATAGTCGGATATTGCTATGTGAAACCAGCCTCACGAATAGCTGAACCCGGCCCAAATAGATAACAATGAACTGTTGCATCTCTTTGTTATCTCCACTCAGTACAATATTCTCACGGCATGTAGCCCTCTTACCAAAATCACTGAGTTGCTCTGTGCTAAGTTATAGTTGACCTAAGTTGTTCACACTAAATATTATCATTTATTAGTGATAAATATTTTCTTTATTTTGCTGATTAATTTGTTGATTAGTGTAGCAAATTTCAGTATTTCAACTTTCCTATATCCAAAAAAGTTACTCATTACTTTTTATCAAATACAAGTCAATTAATGATCACTATAATAAGATTTATGAAATTTTAGTAAGAATATGGGAATTTGGCCATTTTATCTTATGTAAAATAAGGAAGTCACGAATGTTGAATTGAAAACCTTGGGATTTCTAAGAGTAGTTAATGCGTCAGTAATCAGAAAATTGTCCACAAGGATAATAAATTATCCAGTCGGATCAAAGTGAAGAAATAATTAAATTTATAATCATCATTCGCATTAACCATATCTCTGATTTTTTGATAAAAAATATTTTAAGAAAAGAGAAAAAATTGTGGACGAGCAACAATCAAATCGTCAACCAAAAAAATGACGACTGAAACGATATATCACGGCCAAATCTATTTCCCTCGCAAAGATTCATTCAAGGACTCAGAGACACCGTACTCTCTCTTGCCCGATTTTAAGAACCACGAGGTTTCCTATTTCAAAATCAATACTAATCAAAACAAAATACCTTTATTTTTTTCAAGATCAATACTAATCAAAACAAAATACCTTTATTTTTTTCAAGATCAATACTAATCAAAACAAAATACCTTTATTTTTTTCAAGATCAATAATAATCAAAACAGAAGAATAAAAAGAAAAACAATTCCTAAGGATTATTAATATCGCCGGTGCCGCTTGGTAGAGGTATTGTTTGCAGAGGGATATTTATAACATATGATACAGAGTGATGCCCTAACAAAACAAAAAATTCACATGGGCCTTGTTGTCGAAATATATATGAGCCCAACTAATATTAACCCTCACGTCGAATCTTAGGGCCTCAACTATTCGGCCCATAAAAATTGTTGAGCCTTTTAATTACATTATCAAAGAAACAGACACTACACGTTCTGGCAATTATTTAAAAAATAAATATTGATTGTCTCCGTAAATGCTAACAAATCAGAAAAACTTTCTGAACACTAAAAAAGACTTTTTGCAAGATTTAGATACATTGTAACTTTTTTTTTTTGGGCAACAGATACATCATACATTGTAACATTAGATTGTTTCCACCTAATTATTATTACTAGTATAAAAGAACTAATCCTTATCTACTGACAAGAAAGAAGAAAACAAGAAAAACATTTCTCTATATCATTATAAAAACATGCATCCATGCGTAGGTTGCCGGTGAAGAATATCTTCTGTAGGACGAGTGAAGCGTGATTCTCACGCGCAGTAAGAGTGAGAAACGGTAAGTGTTTAAACTAACATTTACACTCAAAAGATCTATTTTAATAAAAGCTACGGTGGATTTGTCCGATGCCGAATCGGTGCTTCGGTTATCTGTACCAATTAGAATTGTCCACGTCGGTAATCATTTCACATCAAAACGTACGGTACGAGTGACTCGTTCGTAACGAGTTAGAAGCGGCGTTTTATTAGTGTTTTTGACTGTTTTTTTTTTAAAAAGATTTTGTAACTCTTCCTAACCATTAAACTCTTTCTTCTTTGAATTAAAAAAAAAATCTTTCTTTTTCTTCTTCAATGTTTTCGTTGAAATCATGTCTGTTACAATTGTGTAGCTGAGTCCAGGGTTCGTCTTTGAGCTGTTTTTTTTAATGATTATCTGAAAAAGGTGATGCTACTCTCTGACTTGTTTTGTCCTTTTATATGTTCTAGACTCGAGTTTACTCCTTTGTTTGGTTTTGTTTCTCTGACATTAGGGTTCTTGATCAAACTGTATACTGATTCAACAACCTGTGGAACCATACTCGTTTTGATATTATTTAAGATTGTAGAAACATTGAAATTTTGATTATTTGAAGCTTTTGGTTATTGATATTGGATTAGGCAGGTGGAGTTTGATGAAAATGGAAGCTGTTGTTGCTGCTAATGGAGTCAATCATAAACATAATGGTCTATTGGAGACTAAACCGGAGAAGGAGAAACCGGTTAAGCCAACAAGTTTGAGCAGTGGTTCAGACATAGAAGAAGAAGAGAGCAGTGTGAGATCTCTGAAGCGAGTGTCTAATAAAAAACGTAAACGGTCTACAGCTGATGAAGGTAGAGTGGCTAAAACCAAATCTTCAAAAGAGAAGAAAGCTCCAAAGAAACGCAAAGAAAAAACAAATGATGATGATAATGAGAAGAAACTGAAGCAGAGAAGCTCTGTGAAAAGAAGAGCTAAAACGAAGAAAGAAGACAAGGAACGTGAACAAGAACTGAAACTAGTTCCTTTCATCAACCAAACAGATGCTGTTAACAGTTCATGTTCACATTCTGACTCGGATTCTCATGTGAAAAATGATAACTTCAAGGACTGCAGAAGCATGACAAGGAGTTTAAGGGTAACAACATTGTTCTTACATTACCTTACAATGCACTGTCTGAAATTCATTGTGTTCTTTTTTCCCTTACACAGGTAGCTTTGGGAGAGCTTGCGATATGCCACCAATGCTTTAAAGGAGAAAGAAGATTTCTTTTCATTTGCACTTTCTGTGAAGAGAAAATTTATTGTTACCCATGTATCAAGAAATGGTATCCTCACTTGTCACATGATGATGTTATTGAGAAATGTCCTTTTTGCCGTGGAACTTGCAACTGTGACATATGTTTGCAGTCAAGTGGACTGATCGAGGTATGGTGATTGTATTATCAACAAAAGTTATGTTCTTATTAAGATCTTCACAAGATTGATATGTATCTTCTTGTCTTACAGACATCAAAGAGAAAGCTCGGTGATCAAGAAAGATTTCATCATCTCCAGTACTTGATTGGATCAATGCTTCCTTTCTTAAAGAAGTTATGCAAAGCGCAAGAAAAAGAGATTGAAACCGAGGCAAAGATTCAAGGTATATATAGATCTTCTGCTACTATATGCTAAAACAATCTTTGGTACAAGATAACATGTTGTTTGGTTCTGTAGGACTAATGACATCCCAAGTTGATATATCTGAGACTCTATGCTCAAATGAAGAGAGAGTCTTTTGGTATGTAACATCTTTTATATAATGTTATGTGACAATCTATTTGCTACTTACTGAAGTATCATTTGTGATGCAGTAACCACTGTGCAACTTCAATTGTTGACTTACACCGAAGCTGTCCAAAATGTTCTTATGAACTCTGTCTCAACTGTTGCCAAGAGATCCGTGGAGGGTTGTTTTCTGAACGTCCTGAAATGAAGTTGGATTTTGTTTATAGAGGCAGCAGATATATACATGGTGAAGATGCAGAACCAAGCTCTTCCTCTGTTCTTGAGGATGAAGCTAATGATAACAAACCGTCTATCAAGTGGACTGCTAATGAAAACGGGAGCATAACGTGTGCTTCAAAAGAGCTTGGCGGTTGCGGTGAATGTGTTTTGGAGCTGAAACATATCTTACCGTTTACTTGGATGTCAGATTTGGAGAAAAGGGCAGAGACGTTCTTAGCATCTTGTGGAATCAACTCTCTGATGATCTCAAACTGTAGATGTTCTGATGATGTGGAGATGAGTATGACGAGGAAAGCAGCTTCTAGAAACGGTTCAAATGACAATAACCTCTACTCTCCTGATTCTTTTGACGTTTTAAAGCAAGAGGAGCTTCTGCATTTTCAAGAACATTGGTGCAAAGGCGAGCCAGTGATTGTCAGAAACGCTCTTAACAACACAGCGGGTTTAAGCTGGGAGCCAAAGGTGATGTGGAGAGCTTTATGCGAGACTGTTGATTCAGCAACTAGCTCCTCTGACGTCAAAGCTATAGATTCTTTAGCTAACTGTGAGGTGAAGATCAAAACTCGTGACTTCTTCGAAGGATACATCAAAGGAAGATCGTACGGTAACTTGTGGCCTGAGATGCTGAAGCTTAAAGACTGGCCTCCTTCGGATAAGTTTGATAATCTTTTGCCTCGTCACTGCGATGAGTTCATCTCAGCGTTGCCTTTCCAAGAGTACAGTGATCCTAGATCAGGAGTTCTCAACATTGCTACTAAGCTTCCTGAAGGGGTTCTTAAACCTGATCTTGGTCCAAAGACTTACATTGCGTATGGGAATGCAGATGAGCTTGGAAGAGGCGATTCAGTTACTAAGCTTCATTGTGATATGTCAGATGCAGTAAGATTCCTGAACTGTTCAAACACTGTTTGTTCAAAGTAATAACGTTTTTGTTTGTTTGTAGGTTAATATTCTGATGCATACGGCTGAAGTAACACTAACTAAGGAGCAGCTCTCTGCAATAGAAGCTCTGAAGAAGAAACACAAGCAACAAGATGAAAAGGAGCTTCAAGATCAAAGTGGTGTAGACAGAGGAGAGATTGTTAGTTATGATGAAGATGGGTTTCATCATGATGAAACAGGGAGTGCGCTTTGGGACATATTTAGAAGAGAAGATGTTCCAAAGCTTGAAGAGTATCTAAGAAAACATTGCAAAGAGTTCAGACATACTTATTGTTCTCCTGTGACTAAGGTAATGATAATAAACTTTTTTTATTTTTCAGAGTCTTGAGTTTATTTATTGGAGTGATGAGGAATGTTTTTGGTTAGGTTTATCATCCGATTCATGACCAAACGTTATTCTTAACCGTGGAGCATAAGAGAAAACTCAAGGCTGAGTTTGGTATGATGTTTGTAACTGTAATAACCAATCACTTGTGAGTTATTATGGACATTTCATTCATATTTTTTGTTTCTTTGTGTGTTAAGGGATTGAGCCATGGACATTTGTACAAAAGCTAGGAGAAGCTGTGTTTATTCCTGCGGGTTGTCCTCATCAAGTTCGGAACCTGAAGGTTATTTTGAATAGTTTCTGTTTCATTAACTGACATTTTTTCTCAATATTTTTCTTATAAAACTTACTTTGTTGTTGTGGAACAGTCGTGCACAAAGGTAGCTGTGGATTTTGTATCACCAGAGAACATTGATGAGTGTCTACGTTTGACCGAAGAGTTTAGACAACTCCCTAAGAACCATAAAGCTAGAGAAGACAAACTTGAGGTGATTATCATCAGTGTTCTTACTTATTATCGCTGATGACTGGTGTTAACTTTTTTGTTACTTGTCATGTATAACAGATAAAGAAGATGTTGATCTATGCCGTGGAACAGTCCTTGAAGGAAGTGGAGACATTATTGCCAAATTTAAGCTAAAAAGAAGTTGGAACTTTTTGTTGTGACTTATTTTGTTCTCAAACATTGTAGCAGGCCTTTGTAGATTGTAAAGCCTTGCATGGGGTTTGACTGTAGTTTTCTTTTGGTGTAATGGAAATGGAAATGATCCCCTTTTTTGGGTGTAAACCAGTCTTTTTTGGTATATGAAAACGAAAATGTTCTAATGTATTTGTAATAGCATTACACTAGCTTCTGAGATCAGGAAGATTAGATGATACTTTGAACATCTTTTATTTTTTGTGCAAATAGAACATCATAATAATAATCATCATAGTTGTAGCTGTTGATGGCATCTTTCAGTTTTTTTTGGGTTCAGTTTCAGGCTTTTTTTTTTCCAGAAATTGCATCCTATGGACATAAAAACACACAAATTCATAAAATAACTAAAATTCTCTTCTCTCCTACTTTCTCTTCTTATCTCTCTATAATCGCTCTCTTAAAAAACTAATTTTCTTTTATTTTTGTGGCTATTTGGCAAATAAACCTTTTTTTATAAATGGTTTACAAGATTTAGGAAGTTATTGTTGGGCGTTTGGTTTATCGTACTCGTAGAGTATAGTGTTGTCAATTTTTGTAGTATAATTTAAAAATTATTTTTTGATGGTTAAATACTATATCTATCATATGTATTTACTTTGGTTATCTGGTGATGAGTATTACAAGTAAACCATTACTTTTGTATAATAAATAAAATTTGACTAAAGAATAGTCAAATCTTTTAGATATTATACCACTTCTGACATATTCGCAGTTGATTTTTTTTTTTAAAACAAGTGGGTTCTGAATAATAATTGAAATTTACTGGTGCACAAAAAAACTTACCGATGTTTTAAATTTAAAATAAATTGATAACAAAAAAAAGTCTAAAATAAATTTGCCACTAATAATACACTTGTAACATACACTGGGGTCCCACAGAATACGTGGACTATCTCATACGACAACGTATAAAACAATAACATACGTGACTACATCTACACATCATCGTCATCTGCTGTCTTGTCTTCTCATCTCTCAAACTCCAAAAAAAAAAGTATTAATTCCAAAAATTTCTTCAGTTTCGATTTCTCCTGACTTCAAAACCCTAACAAAACGATGTTGATCGCTCAACGGTGACTGAATTCGCAAATCTTCTTCCGTTACAATGACGAGGAAATCAGTGGTGTCACGCCGCGGCGTCGTGTGGCTCGGATGGAAGCTCGTTATCGCTTTCTCCGTCTCCCTATGCCTTCTCGCTCTCCTCAGGATTCAACTTCAGTACCGTTCCGTCGCGACATTGACGCCGCTTTCCGTTGCTGGATCTCGTATCACGACGCTTGGTGAATACTTTGGAGACCGTCCGAAGGTTGCGTTCCTTTTCTTAGCTCGGCGTGATCTCCCTCTTGATTTTCTGTGGGAAAGTTTCTTCAAGGTTAGATGTCTTTTTAAGAACTACGTTTTTTATTAGCTAATGACACTCTTAACTGTTTTCTGAATATGCTGTTTTTGGTGATTTTTGGCAGGGTGTTGATCAGGCGAATTTCTCTGTTTATATACATTCAGTACCTGGTTTTGTGTTCAATGAGGAAACCACGAGATCAAAGTATTTCTATAATCGACAGTTGAACAATAGCATAAAGGTGAGTGTGTTTATTGTTCTTCTATGTTATGGATTTAGTGCATACTTGCTGAAGTTGTAACAAACTAATGTATTTGTGAGAACGTATCAGTAGAGATGTAAAATAAAAGCCTTTATGGCATTTATTAGCTATTTCTAGGGATTATATTGGAAGAATCTAAACTTAGGGTGTCATGGTTATATTATAGGTACTATGGGGAGAATCTAGCATGATTGCAGCTGAGAGATTGTTGTTTGCTTCTGCTTTAGAGGATCACTCAAATCAAAGATTTGTTCTTCTCTCTGACAGGTGCGGTTCCTTGAGAATTATTACTCATCGAATGCGGTTCCCTTGCTAAATTGTGTTTTGCATAATCGCTCTTCTTCGTTTAGAAGATTCCTTTATTAAGGTTTACCATGTCCTTGGTTTGATATTCCATTCCAGTGATCTCTTTACTCAGACTTTGCATATGATTAGTCGGTAGTACATGGTTAGTCAATTACAGTATCTCTTGGTTTTAGCTGTGCACTTGCTAAATGCAGAAGCGGACTTGTGAAGTATAGGGCACACATACATATATTCATTGGTGTTCTTTCAAGGATTCGTTTATAGACCTTCTTATGTCTGGCCATACCTTAGTGCATTAGACGTTCAGCGTATATATGATTACAAAATTATTTCTTCACTTTACTTCTACTTTCTGTTTTGCAGATGTGCTCCCTTATATGACTTTGGCTATATATACAGATATATTATCTCTTCACCAAGGAGTTTTGTGGATAGGTAGATTGCAAGTCTGTTTTTGTTTTTAGATTTTCTCACTACTTGTAAATATGTTAGTGGGAACATTTGGCTTATATGGCCTGATAGCTGGTGTATAAGGGGAGTTTTCTAGATGTTGATAACTTTGTTTCTCTCTGTGTACAGTTTTCTTCATACAAAAGAGACACGGTATAGTGTGAATATGTCTTCTGTCATACCTGAAGAGAAATGGCGAAAAGGTTCCCAGGTATCTTCGTTATCATGCTTTTAAACGAACATTAGAGAATTGGTTTCTTACTAAGCCTTTTGAAGCATCAGGGTGAGAGGGACAAGGGTTCCTTTGCAGTTCATGAATATATTAACCTCATCCTTGTTTTATCTATTACAGTGGATATCTGTGATCAGAAGTCATGCAGAGGTCATTGTTAATGATGGTATCGTATTCCCAGTTTTTAAGAAATTTTGCAAGGTAAAGATCAGGCTTTATGTGGATTCAGTTTTGTTACTGCTTGCAAATCACCATTAAGCGAAACCTCAAAGTATCTATTATTGTTTTTAATGTCACTCTTGATTCCTTTTTGCTGAAGTAACAACAAATGATGTGGTGATTTCTCTTAATTTGCAGAGAGCTCCACCTTTAGGTTCCCAAGAGGCATGGTTGTTTTTTGTAAGTGATACTTCCACATTGGCATTTTTTTATTGATAGCAGCAGCTTGGATTATCGATTCATTTAGAGTCTATTTATCTGTGTTGGTTTGAAAAAAAGTTCCATTGGTGTATGTATATATTGAAAGTATGTATATGACACTTCTCTCCGTTGATATGCACACAGAGACAGAACCGGCGCAATTGTATCCCTGATGAACACTATGTGCAAACATTGCTTACGGTAAATCCTATCTTAAAAACATCTCTTCAGTTTACTTGTTTCTTTTCCTCAATCTAAAATATTTCCATACTAGTTATACTATAACGAACTGATTACTTTTCAGATGCGTGGACTAGAGAGTGAGATGGAACGAAGAACACTGACATACACTGTATGGAACGTTTCGGGTTCAAAATATGAAACCCAGTCTTGGCATCCCGTCACTTTCACATTTGAAAACTCCGGCCCTGCTGAAATAAAGGAGATAAAGGTTCACTTTCTTCTTTTATGATTAACATCACAACATTGGACCGTTGTCCTTTGAGTAATCACTGGTTCTTTTTTTTTTTTTTCTTGGAACAGAACATAAACCATGTCTATTACGAGACTGAATCACGAACAGAATGGTGCAAGGCGGACTCAAAACCCGTCCCATGCTTTCTATTTGCAAGGAAATTCACTGAATCAGCTGCAATGCGTCTTGTGAAGGAAGGCCTAATAGGATCGTCTAAAAACATAACCTTATAAGTTAACTCTGCAACAGTATAAGCAATTGTTTTAGGTTACAGACTTAGAAAGTCGACGCATCTCCTAGGAGGGTATACATAGAGTAGGGAGAGTATCATTGATACATAACTAATGAGGTGAAGCAACTGAGGATCCAAATTTACTTGAACTTTTGAATCTTTATGTGGTGTAAACATTTTCTATTAATATGCCTGAAGAAACTGGCTTTGATTAATATTATGTCTTACAACATCATTCCACCAAATAATAAAACAGCAGTTTCTATTTATTCTTCCTGGAAACTGGTTTGTTTTTTTTTTTTTTGAAGTGTTTCAATCGCTGTTTTAATCACATTTTCAAAGTGTTTGCAAGCAGTTCATTTTTTCTTAGGATACTCTCTCGCCCCGAAGATCGTCGATCCTATTCTCACATTTGTGCTTCCCAGTTCAATCTGCAAATAAAAAGAAAAAAGAATACTCTTTTTAACATTTTGAGCAGAACTCAGTGTTGGTACTTAAATGAGCAAACATGGATTGATCAGAAACTTACGGCTAACTCAAAGTCACCGGACATCCCCATCGATAGTTCACATTGCTCCTCCGGTATTCCAAGCTCCTCACACACTTCACTTCTGCATTTCGCAAGCATCTACACATATAGTCAGAAACAAATGAGAGCCTCTTGTTAATGTTCCCATGATATTACCAAATGTTTCTTTAGATTTCCATTCAGATTAAATAAAACCTTGAAGTTCTCTGGGGTTGACGTGTAATCAGCCATCCCTATTGTCATCAAACCAGAAAACTCAAGATTCGAGCAGGCTTCCTTCACGTGCTTCGCTAGTCCTACACATCCTGAAGGTTCCATGCCGAACTTCGCTGCAAGTATCAATGAGACGATCATGTAAAGAAACGTTTGAAATGGAAACATTTGAGTTGGATGCGAAGAGAAAGTTGTAGATTCTCAGATTCTTACACTCTTCGCCACTGGTATTCACTTGTACCAAGACCTTCAGAGGCTTTCTTCCGATGTTTCCAACCACACGATCAAGCGTATTTGCAATCTATGAAGCAAATGAGATAACCAGCAGATGTCACATGCATATTCCTGACGGTGTATATAGTTTGACAGGCATAAGAACTAAGAAACAAGTAACAAGGTCGCCTTCAAAGAGAGCTCTCATATGAATCGAGACTCTAAAGACCCGCGTGTTTTACTACTAAGTAGCTGTTATTAAATCTGTTAATGTAACTGTAGTTAAGTTGAAGGAGCTCCAATACCAAAAACCAGCAAATATCTTTGTATTTTACAGATGATTTGATCTTAATTAACTCTCGATGCAGCTCTATTCATACTCACATCCACTAACTCACAACATTTGCCATCCCAGTACCCAGTTAAACAAACAAACATTTGACCTCATTCTACAGATTCCACTATCTATAGTCTTGTTACCCAAAGATCATGATTTTTTTTATTTGCCCCTTAACACCTCAAAAGAACGCTACAACAGCTACAAACCAATAAAACTCTTCCCCTACATTATACACAAAACGATGATCGTTACCTTCTCATCGTCCACACTTTCCACCATCACAAGATTAGGCACTCCAGCTAATCAAACAAGCAAAAAAATCAAAGAATATAACATATCAAAGACATATATAGAAACTCATACACAAACCAATTCAGTATACACGAGTCACAAAACTCAATTTAGTATATCAATGTAAAAGTCAAGTTAGTCTCAAAACTAATAAACCAAACAACACTTACTTAGCAAAGGCTTCACTTTGTTGCTCTGCAGATTCCCAATAAAATGCCACTCTATATCTTCAGGAAGCTACGATTAGAAACAAAAAGGATCAAACTTTTTTTCAATCAAAGCTTTAATTTCAATTTTCAAAGTTCCAAACTTTCAAAAAACTGATTCGAAACCTGAGGAGCCTTCTCAATAATCTCTTGCACATAGTTCTCTCCAAAAGACCTATGCCCCGCGTCGTAAACCTGACGAATCAGAGAAACTGGTTTCGTCTTGCTTACCGCTACGACCCGGACCCGATCCGACGCGCGACCCGCTTTCTCCGCCGCCTGGTTCACCCGCTGAAACACCGATCGCAAAGCCGCGACGCCGTCCATCGCTGCTGCTGATGCCATAGCCGGTTCCGCCACGTGTCCTGACTGTTCGTTCGTGGGTTTCTCTTCGTTTTCGAGATTGTTCATCGAAAGCTAGTAGCTTTTTTTTTTTGAACACACTCTGTTTCTCGTCACAGTTTTGTGGAAGAGAATGAAGGAGACGTGCCTTATACGCTGCGTTTTGGATAAATATATTTTTTTTTTTACAAAAATCGCTGCAGTGTAATCGAACCGGACGCTATTACAAACCATGTTCTACAGTGTCAACTTTGAGCAGTGAATCATCTTTACACTAACTAGAGATTTTCCCGGGCTACGCCCGGGTTATGTGGAAATTATCTTTGTATTTGATATATAATGCAAATATGCATTATGGATATGTTTTATAAAATATAAATCATATATCTGATTTGTAATGATTAAAACTCAAAAAATCTTATCTTTTAATATCTAAGAATATATATGGGAGGATGAGCAAATACATGAGATTAATAGAGTTAAAAGCTGTAGTTATGGTCTTAGTATTCTTTTATCTTACATGTATGTGTAATGTTTGTTATCTGAAATTAGAAGAGCGAAGAAGATCCTCATAGAGGAGGAACTTGAGCGGTAGAAGAAAAAGGATGTCAAGGTTTGGCTTTTTTTTGTTCTTTTGTAATGGTTAGAAACTTAGAATCAGCATGGTTATGTTGTTCTACCAAATTGTTTTGATCCAAGTTTTTGTGAGTTTCTTTTCGGAGGTTAAACATGAAGATTTTTATCAGACATGCGTTTTTGGACCATGGGAAAGCAGCGTGCAGATAGAACCGCTTCTTTCTTTCCACTTGCCATAAAAGATGATGAATGTTACACCATATCCTAAAGAAGAGGAAGATGATGTCTCTTATTGCTCATTTTGTCATTTAGAGTTTTGCTTCTAATAAGAACCACTTTTGTTATAAAAGTTGGGAATTCTTTACGCATCTTTTTGTGTGTTTTTATATAGGTTTCGTTTAACGCAGCAGTAAGCATTAAATGATTTGATTACCATTTAAGAATACTTATGTGGATAACTTAAAAGGCTAAATTTATCTTTCAATATGTAGGAAATAATTTTAAATGTATATTTTCTTAATTTATTGGTGAAGAAAATGAAATGAAAATATTTTTTTTAATTAGAGAAAAGTTTACTCTTATCGGATACATGCTAGTCACACTCATATTAGAGCAGCCTTACAGTTAAACCCGTATTTGGGTATCTGAAAAACAAAAAATAGTATTTAATAATTTTGGTCCAAATAATTAGATTGCTTTTATATTTCTAAAATATGTGCAATAGAAAAAAACCACTTCGTATTTAAGTATTAGATATGGTTCTTAAAGTTCTCCGCAGCAAACCGATTTTTACTTTCTCTTTCATATTTTAATTTTTAAAATATCTATAATGATTATATTTTTGTGAGAGTTCCTTGTTGTATATATTTTAATGTTTTAAGTTCTACAATTACTATACAAACATGTTATAAAAGAAAATACTATACAAACATTTCAGTTATCCTAATCATAATTAACAATTTTATTTAAGAAACACATACCTCCACATATTCTTTGAAATCATAACAAAGGATTCTCATTATTAACAATTTTTATTTATTTATTTAAAAATCATAAATAACAGTAGAATCAATTTTGTTCACAAAAAAACTGTATGCAATAATCCATATAGTAAAATTGGACATAATCATTTGTTACTTATATCATAATATTTCCATATATCGGTGGATAAACTAATTTCTACAGTCTAGCTAAACAATAAATTATATTATATAAATGAAATCATGTACAATTAAATAAGAATTACTTCCTATAATCTAGCCTATGGGTGGATATTCGGATACATGTTCGGATCAGTTCAGATCTTTTTGGTTTTTGGGTTTTCAGATTTGAAGATTTCAATCTCATTTAGGTATATATAAAATTTGGCCCGATTCGGATAACCCTTATAAATTATTTTAGAAAATTGAAATTTATTTATACTTCGCATTTCTCAAAATCTAAACATAATAATAACATATAAATTTGAATAATATATGTCAGAGTACTTGAACTTAATATAAAATTGGTTTGGTTTGAATATTGAGATAGAGAATCAATAAATATTTCAAATATTTTTTTAGTATTTTGAGTTTTAGTTAGCTATTTTAAATATTTACCTTTTTAAGTTTTACATTTTGATTTAGTTATGTATCTATTGGATGTAGTCAAATAATTATAAATAAATGCATGTTGGACTTTTATATAAGTTTAGGTATCTGTTTAGGTATCTGTGTACTAAATTTAGAACATAATATCGTGTTAATACTATATAGTTATATTTTTCATATTTATTCATAATAAAAAAAAATTAAAACTACATAAAATAATCATTTATATAATTTATAAAAAAAAATTATTTCGTTAATATATTATTGGTAGCATAGTTTCATATAAATAAAATTCAACTGAAACTGAATACAATAAATTTATATGATAAAAATATAAATGATACAGTTGACTATTACAAAATAAAATATAACTACTTAATATAATAAATAAAATTACTATGTTTAAAATTATTATATCAAACAATTATATGATATATATAAACTATAACTTTAAATTATATAATTTATAAAAATTAAAAAAAATATTTTTTAATAGTGAAAATTAATATCCGTACGGGTTAAGATCTAGTTACACTTATAACCTAAATGTTTAGATATTTTTATCATTTTGTTGTTTTGTCATGTCTTATAAAAAAAATATTTTATGTGAAAAGCTTTTAATAGAACAAAACAGTTGCATATATACATTTGGACCAAAAAAACTTTAAGAAGAATAGCTACTTAAGACTCGATGCCAAGCTAAAGAAGATAAAAACGTGTTAACAATTTGATTTTGTGTCACACATATCATTTTCTTCTTCTTTGAAAGGTCAAAGAATCTCTTTCTATGACAATATCTCAACGGTGTGTATGCTCTACGAACTTTCCGTTGGTGATAAGAGCTGTGTGTGCTCTACTTCCACAGGTGGAGTGATGTGTTTTCAATAGAAGCAGCGTGGTTTCTGTATCTGTGAGCTCCTCTGTTCACGTCGGTGTGTTTTCCTGAAGGAAAAAAAAAAAAAAAGACTCAGAAACAATTATAAGCATTAGTCTCTCACTGAGAAAATGAAAAAAGCTTTGTATTTATCAAGATGCAGATATGATGATGGATGTAAAAAACTCAGTGGTGTTAGAAAATAGATCACTGAGAGCAGCTTTCCATCGAGCCTTTGGCTCACTAACTTCAATCACAATCTAAAAAGGGTGAAACAATTCTTAAAAAGGGGTTGGATTAGGATAAAAATCTGAGGAATTCACGAGGTTAGCTTTTGCTTTGATGCAAGAACTAATATTGTCTGTATCGTACCATGAGTTTAGACACCTTTCGATTTTCCCTTTTAGCATCCTGAACACATATCAAATGGTTTCATTCAGTCAACGTGGAAAGTTCTACATGAGAATTGTACATAGATGACAGAGGGAGGGAACTGATAATTAACCATAGAGAACATGAAGCATACCCCACGCGCATGCCTTCTTCAATGTCAGTGGGAGAAAAATTATCACCGAGGCCAACCACAAGCTTCACTTCAGAGGGAGAAACTTCATCTCCAAGGCCAACGGCAAACTGTAGTCAAGCACAAAAGCAGTTATAATAAAAAATTGGAAGGCTACACATGACTGGTTATGCAGAGACAAACATAATCCATGTACCTTAGCTTTCTGTTTGAAGCTAATGACATACTTGGCGTCTGGAGTGTTTGGACTAATCACACTTGTGCATCTAGCAACCTGGACAGTAAAAACGTTTACCATAATCCCTTTAGAATTTATTAGAGAAGAAAATAAGAGAGAAAAAAAACTCTACATGAAGAGGCTTTTCCTCTTAATCATCTGTTTATCAGATGCGAGATCCCATTGGCTGGAAGGAGCTAACCCAGTATCGGTATCTGAAATGAAAGGGAAAAGCTTCACTGTAGTAGTGTCATAAGCAAAAGTCATTGATCAAAGTAGCAAACGCTTCAGTAACAAAGAGTGCAAACATACCACAGAGACAGTTGATTTTGTTGGCGAGATCCTCAATTTCTTTCTCTACCCTATTTATAGCTGCAGACTGCAGAGTAAGGCCCTGACCCCTGCAAAGGAATGAGATTTAGAAAAGATCTGTAGCAAGAAAACATAGGAAGAGAGAACCTATAACACAAATTAAGATATTTTTCGTGATACCTCATATTCCTCATCGGTTGAACCAATATCTTCTTCATCAGTTGAAACATGTATCAACTGAGCCAGTTCAGGAGGATCATCAAATGGATCATGAAGGATTTCAGTAAGAATGATTATAATAGGTTCATAAGGCATGTGTTCTTTAGTAATCGAAGCTTCTTGTAACTGAGACATAGTGTCTTGACCCTCATCAACAACAACCCCAAACACCTGAAAAATAGAAAATGGTATGCAAGCAGTATAATGTATATACAAAATTGAGTAGAAATCATGACTGTGCTTACAGTGTGTTTCCCATCAAAGGAATGCAAATTATCACACAGAGTAATATGCATCACTTGTGCATCTAGCAACCTGAACAGTGAAAACGTTTACTCTAATATCTTTAGAATTTATTAGCCAAATTCTGCAACTTGTTCTGGCAAAAGCAACATAATCAGCAAAGCACAAAAAAATAAGTCTAAATAAAAACGACCCTGCCACAAACACCAACAACACAATCGAATACACACCATAAGAACAGAGCCGAACTACATAAACCCTAAGAAAGAAACCAAACAACAAAAACCCTAACACCAATAAAATCGAACGCACCAAAGAAACAGTACCGCCTCTAGGAAAAAAAATTGAGGAAGAGGGCATCTCAGATCCGAAGCAACTGCAGTTGAATGGCGAAGGAGCAGTGTCAGGACTACAAATCAGAAAAGAAGATTGATTAGTTAGCAATTTAAAAGAAAATATATTTACTACGGTGTTTTTGTGGATTGGGAGATGATGTTCAAGTGAATGATGCCAACCTTTGATAGTTCATGTCATTGACTGAGAAAACACGAAGCTTCAGGAATT